CTAAACTATCTCCCGTGGTGAATGTTAGTACTCTGTCCTATACTATCTCCCGTGGTGAATGTTAGTACTCTATCCTATACTAAACTATCTCCCGTGGTGAATGTTAGTACTCTCTCCTATACTATCTCCCGTGGTGAATGTTAGTACTCTGTCCTATACTATCTCCCGTGGTGATGGTGAGGGTTGCAAGGTCTGGTAAGATTGTTTAAGCATTTTTTGGACAAGTAAATTAATTCAATTTAGATTCAAATTCTACATCACCAAAGTTTTCTTATGGTATTATAGGAGAAATATGATAACCTCAACGGAACAAATCCATGGTGAATTTTTAAATTATCATCCAATATAACTTGTATGCATCTCTCAAGCATTTAACTCCAGTGGTTACTTTTTACTACATTGAAAGATGGCATACTACACATATTCTTTTATTTGTAAGCCCAAGATTTTCCCACGACACTACATCTTCACTATTAAATATTGATGAAAACACATCATTAAGTTTGCTTTCTTTGTTTTCATAAACTAATTTTCTGTGTACGAAAGTCTTCAATTTTTGCCAAGTTATATATGTAATTACTAAACGTTCTTCTCTGACTCACCTTTTTTCTATCTCGCAACATTCAGAAAAAATGATGGTCAGGTAAAACTCAAAAATTTCCAGATGAAAGGTCATTATAAGCGTTTTACAGACCAATATACACATGACAAAACAAAATTTAACATTCTATTTTTTACAAGCATCTTGTTTTGTATTCACAGCACTGCAGCTGACATTCCTGCTACAAATAGTGAAATAGTTTTGTCTGTCAGTTTATACTGCATGGCTTTCTTCACTCGACGCTCGTGTAGGGAATTATCCTGTGCAATATTCATCTGGAACTCAAAAACAATAAAAATTAAGTAAAGTATGAAGACACAAAAATACAGTAAAATGTCCCAACTATTTTCGAAATAATTTGATTTTTCATTTTAGTTTCCTATCTTTATGTCTCATAAAATTTCGATTTTCAAATGCTAGCAAATCATGAACCGTTTCAAAATAAAAAGGGTACACATACATCATACATGTGCATACATTCATGTAAAATTATATATATTGTTTTATCTGTTTAACACTTTCATTTGACATTTTCTTCTGATCTTCCTTTCAATCTCCTCTAACCGATTTTGTTTTCCGCCCATATCAGCAGCCATTGGTCAACTATAAAGAAAAAGTAGCCACAGTTGAAATATATTACAGAATACCAACTAAAAGCAGTCGAATGTTAAGAAATTGTACCTTAGTATTAATTCGCTATTTAATAAACTCAGTTGTAATATATTTATAACTAATAAAATAAGGTTTATCTAATAAATATCATTTTAGTTACTAAAACGCTGAAAACATTTACCAACAAGTCCGTCATTTGTGATTCTGAAAATTTAAAAACATCGGAAATTATACCATAGCCTACCGTGCCATTTGAACATGGTATTTATGATCTATTTGAATGACCACGGACTTAGATAATCTAATTCCGTGGAATAACACAATAGTCTAATATCAGAAGAAAAATAATAAAATATTGTAGAATTTAAATCACTGAACTGATTTAAAATTGACCGGCTAGAAAAAACGAAGTTTAAACAAAAACCTTGCCTTTTTTCTCTGTATTATAATGTAATGACTGCCAGTGATGCCTTCTCATAATTCTAAAATCACGGTATATTCTCAGATGAATTTAGCAATGTTGTAGTTATTTCAAGAAGCTGAATCTAAGAAGCGCAACATAAAATATATTGTAGAATATAAATCACCGAACAGATTTAAAATTGACCGGCTAGAAAAAACGAAGTTTAAACAAAAACCTTGTCTATTTTTTCTCTGTATTATAATGTAATGACTGCCAGTGATGACTTCTCATAATTCTAAAATCACGGTATATTCTCAGATGAATTTAGCAATGTTGTAGTTATTTCACGAAGCTGAATCAAACAAGCGCAACACAAAAAATATTGGAGAATATAAATCACCGAACATATTTAAAATTGACCGTCAAGAAAAAACGAAGTTTAAACAAAAACCTTGTCTATTTTTTCTTGTATTATAATGTAATGACTGCCAGTGATGACTTCTCATAATTCTAAAATCACTGTATATTCTCAGATGAATTTAGCAATGTTGTAGTTATTTCACGAAGCTGAATCAAACAAGCGCAACACAAACAATATTGGAGAATATAAATCACCGAACATATTTAAAATTGACCGTCAAGAAAAAACGGAGTTTATACATAAACGAAAGCCGATACCACCTATATGGGCGACTGCAGCACAAGTCTCGCAACAGAGCTCCGAGAACAACAGGCTCAAGCGTGCGTTAGCGAGATCTGTGGAGCATACAGCCGGTGCTGCCATTTTGGCGCTAACAGCTAGCATTCAACAATACTAGCACTGCCAAACCACGTACTCATTTACAGCTGAGTAGACTAGAACAAGTGGAGTAAAGTATCTTGCTCAATGATACAACACAGTACCAAGCCGTGACTCGAACCTGCAACACTTGTATACAGTGAAATTTAACTTTACCGGTGTCCCTAGCTGTAAAAGCCTAATACTTCACATTGGTATTTTATGTGTAAAACATAGACTTGAGCTGTGTTAATTTATTTTTATTTTTATATATACATATAAGTTATCAATGCAACTAGGCTAACAATCTTAAACGTATTGTATTAAATTTGGATTCAATAATTAGCATAAGACTTCACCGATAATACAACTAAAGTAAGTCACAGAATAGTACTGAAAATATAGTTAACAATTTCGAGAATTTCCTCTTCTGGATTACTTTTATGTATACCTGTCATGTTTTAAATGTATTACATGAATAATAATGCATGTATGTTCGCTATATATTAATGTAGATACCTTTTTTGTTTTTACTCCAATTTTTATTAAGTCACACCAACTGGAGGTTGGGGGGACTTCTTGTTATTGTTACGTTTCTTACTTATTAAGTCGTCCCGAACGAAGTCGGGTGACTTATTGTTATTGTTCCGTTTCTTACTTATTATTATTATTATTATTATTATTACAAGCTGACCGGTAATAAGATTTATATATATATATTAAATGCCGCCGTGACTATTATCCATAATTATGTTTATTGAAGATTTAAAAGAAACTGGTTAGGTATACATGTAGCAAACACTAGTGAAAGCAAGCTTTTTTTATAAAAAAAAGCAATGGATTAAGTCTTGAGTGTAATCAGCCCAACAGAACTCAAAATATAAGTAGTGCATTTTATAAACTGATTCTCTATTCATATATAGTAAAAGTGATAGAGACCTAACACCCGGGCCTGGAAAGTTGTCCCAAGCATGCACTTTTTTGAAGAAGCACTGTATAAAGTCAAGAGTGTAATCAGCCCAAGAGAAATCAAGATATTGTGCATTAGTGCATTAAACAGATTTTCTTTTTAGAGTGACCCATTGACCTTTGACCACTGGACCTGAAAAGTTATCCCAAGCAGGCACGTTCTTCCAGGAAGGACAAGATAAAATCTGAGTGTAATCAGTCCAACAGAATTTTAAATACAGTGCACAAACTGATGTTCTATTTAAAGTAAGTGACCTTGACCTCTGATATCAAAGGCTGAAAAGCTATCCAAAAGGTTAAGCAAACATTTTATTACACTGCATAAAGTCCATGTATGCACACACACAAGGTTCTACACTTAAAGTTGATAAGTTGACTTTAATATTCATATGTTTTTTTTCTGTATGTTATTACTATTTCCATAACATATTGGATGAAGTTGCTAAGTGTTTAAATTGAATCAGTTGATGATTTTCTATGTATAAAGTTTGACCAAAATCCGTGAAAGAATGAAGCTGCTAAGTGTTTACATTGAATAGAGACGGGACAGGATGATTTTCTATATATAGCAAATGTGGCCTTGACCTTGATTCCCTGAAATAAAAAGATGTCCGAAGTATACCCAAACTTGACCTTTGTATAAAATTTGACCAAAATCTGTAAATGAATGAAGTTGCTAAGTGTTTACATTGAATAGAGACGGGACACGACGCAACGGGACAGGACGGGATGCCGGGCGCCGCACCAGGGCCAAAGCTCACTTGTCCTTGGCAGGTGAGCTAAAAACAGATAGAAGGTCAGACGGAAAATCTTATTACTAAAGATGTGCAGAGGTCCTAACAACAAATTGTGTAATCGGAGAACCCCCCCTTGTGGACCCCACTACTCCCCATAGGGAGCCAGAGTATTATGAGAGAGACTCTCTGTTAAACGGCATTTAGTCTTCTTAACCAAGTAATGCTCTAGACCATTGGTTTGAAAACATCATCAAGCCATACAGAAGGACTTCAAATGATGTAATTTATCAGGTGATTTATGTCCTCGAACAGCAAGGGTCATATGAGGACGGGTGTCACCTATAGAAGAAAGCTGCAATTCGAAGGAAGTGCATGTGTTGACGGAACAAATACAGTTACTTATAAGAATTTCCTATGTGCAAAGGGCTATAACTCCAGAAAAACTAGAACATGGACACTGGATTCTAACTCAAACTGTAATCCATTATACATGTATACTAAGTTGCAAATAATATGGAAAACAGTTAATTATGAGAATTTCCTATGTGCAAAAGTGCCATAACTCCAGTCAAAAATGGAATTTTAATACATGGTTCAAACTCTGTAATCTATTATGATAAAGCCACAAACAAAGTTTCAAATTGATATGGCAAGCGGTAGCGAAATAAGTCCAAACAAAAGTTTATTTTGATAATTTCTTATGTGCGAAGGGCCATAACTCCAGCAAAAAAAGGAATGTTTACACGGGATTTGAACTCAAACTGTAATCCATTATGACAAAGCCACATATTAGGTAACAAATTGATGTTGCAAGTGGTAGCGAAAAAAAGTCTGGGAAAACATTAATTATGAGATTTCTTATGTGCGAAGGGCCATAACTCCAGCAACAAATGAAATATTGACACAGGGTTTGGACTCTAACTGTAATCCATTATGATAAAGCCGCATACTAAGTGGCAAGTGGTAACGAACAAAGTATGGCAAACAGTTAATTATGAGAACTTCCAATGTGTGAAGGGCCATACATGTAACTCCAGCAAAAAAATAAAATATTAGCATGTGATTCAAACTTAATCTAATCTGTAATCTATTATGATTAAGCCACATACAAAGTTACAAATTGATATGGTAAATGGTGGCCAAACAAAGTCTGGAAAACTTAAATGTGACTGCCGCCGCAAATGACAATGTGTGATGACGGACAGACTGATCCTTAAGTTTTCGCCATGCTTCTCAGGCGGCACAACCAAGGAAAGGCAGAACAGTGAAGAAAGAAAGGAAAGATTTAAGATCCCAAGTGTGTTGCAATGGGGGCAGAAGATCTATTTTGGTCTGTTCAATGTCCCCCAAGTAGTAGACATGAAAATAAATCCCCGATTCTTAAGGGGGCGAACTTTTAGCCCCTCCCCCATGTACATTGTATGTAAATTATGTTTTGATAGATTCGATGACTCGAGTAGAAAATTGTTTGATTCATGTAATCTTGAAAAAGAAAGTAAAGGGACATAACTCTTTATGTAGACTCCAATATAAGTAATTTGTGCTGATCTGACAGATCTGTCAATTCAAGATCTATCTGTACACCAAATTCAAGAAGAATTACACATTATTATATGTTTCGCATGTCTGAAATTGTCTGACATTGTCAGTATGGTAAGTTTTAAGCAAAACTTCAAAACTTTCTAAAATTTCTGGATGTTTTTTTCCAAAAACAGCGGGAAGAAAATCTACATTTTAAAGAAAGTGGTAGCTATGGGAGCACCCTATATATGTTATAAACAAAAAAATATTGGTACCTTGCAAAACAAAAAGCAAATTTCGCAAAACCACCAATTCTCAAAAATCACCTAAACATGACATATTTTATCTAAAAGGAAACTTGGAACTTACAGAAGTAACAAACTATATCCGATATATAACAGAAAAAAATGTGAGGAAATCATGTGAGGGACACAACTCACAGAAATATTATCCAAAGGAAGACAATCAATCATAACCGCACAAATACTTAGAGTACCTAGCAAGTGTTCCTAGTTTAAAACAGAGAGTATGAGTATTACTTGAAACAAATTTTAAAATTATATAAGAAATAATTCTCAGGGAC